GATGATGATGATGATATTGATGGTAGTAATGAAGATGATTGTTCTCAAAGACGAATTTCAAATAATAAAAAAATACGTTTATTAATGAAACGAAAAAAAACTATTGTTACTGATCGAAATAAATTACTTCGAAAAAATCGTAATGATGAATTTCGACCAATTATGATTAATCAATTTTTTCTCTCAGCAATGAATAATGATAATATTATGTTAAGTGAACTTTATGATAAAATGAATATATCATCAACAATAATTAAAACAGTTAAATCTGATTCAAATGATATTTTATCATCGAGTCTCAATTCAAATGATTTCGTTTGTGATCCATTGTATATTGATACAATTAATTCAGCAATAGCATCAAGTATGTTTGATTTAAAAAAATAAAGAATATCGGTTAGAGTCGGAAAATTTTGATTATCATTTGTGAATAAGTAAGTTACTGAACATTAGATAGGGTTAATGGTTTATTCATTTCTAGTAATGCATGATAATCAATAATCTAAAATATTTATTTCCTTTATAAATCTATTTTCTTTATATATAGATGATAATGATATCTCACCATCGTCTGATATGAATACAACAATTAAATCTAGTCAATTATTAACTCCAACTAGTCTTGCATCATCTTCAACAATCAATTTAACCAGTACACCAATACGATCTCGTACAAACAGTATATCAAGTAATTCAAGCATTTTAATTAATGCTGCTAATCTTCTTCTTGATACACCAAATGAATATTCTTATCTTGATTCAACCAAAGTCAATGCATTTATTAATGAAAATAATACAAATACGAAAGTTGATGATGTAATACCATCACCAACAAAATTAATTCGTAAACGAAGATTAACTATTGAATATCCATTTCCATTTCTTGTTGAACAAGCTAAAAAACAACGAATGACACCAAAAAAACTTCAAGATGAATTATCGAAACATCGACCACTATCACCTGAATATCATTATTCACCATTTGATAATTCAATAGATTTACCAAATGATAATTTCAATGATTTAACATTATCATCCAATTCTTTAATTGTATCAAAACGACAACATGCAATTGATTTTCGTCATTTACAAACAAATATGCAAAAAATTATATTTAAACAATTTGAAACTGATAAGAATCTATTTTTTAGTGAAATTTATTCAAATATTCATCATGATGATAATCAATCGTCAATCTCATCATCCGATATTGGAATTTGTTTTGCTGCTTTACTTAATAATGCTGTACGATATCAATTTCGTCTTGAATCGAATGATATACATGATGATATTGGTATTCTATCTCCTATTATTAACAATAAACAATAATTAGAAATATTTTTTCAGTAAAAAATTTTTGTTTTGTATATATAAATGTATGAATAGAAAATAAGAATAAACAAAATATTTCTTTGTATATATTCATTTTATCAACGGTTCATAATCTAATATTTTGTTACCTCTCAATTGTTATGAATAATATCAAATATAAAATATCATGGCAGATGTCGTCATTCAGCTATTGTTCTTCGTATAATAAAAGATAAACAGTATAAGTATCTATTGGTTCGATTAAATCTCATTTAAACTAATAATGTTTCTTTTGTTTATCATCATGAGAGAAAAATAGTTTATGGATCTTAAAGATAAGGAAAATGAAGAGAAATATAGAAGCGTGTGTGTGTGTTTTATTTTTGTCTTTTACCATCTTATTTTAGATTTAACAGATATGACGAATTCCGGAACAAAAGTAAATAGATGACTTACTTTTAAACAAAAAAATTTTTTTTTCTAATTACATTAGCCAATTTTATATTCATACTATCGAAGTTCATGTTCTTATCGAGTTCGAATTGGTAAGGTTAATTGAACATACAAAAAAGAAAGAATTATATTATTTACTTTGCTATTAGCATTAAACTTAAAAAATATAAGTTATTCTCAGGAAATAGTTAATCTTCTTAAAGGTGAAAACGTACGTAATTAAATCGTTTGTTTTTTTTGATAATCCATTATCGTTTTATAGAAAACCGAGACTTACAAAAAATACAATCCAAAAGGTGAAGTTCCAGTAAGTAAAGAATTCGTTTTTTGTATTTGAAAATTTATTGAAAAAGAATATTTAGGCACTTATTATTGATGGAAAAACACTTGTACAATCGGTATACAAGTTCAAATAAACATTAATAATATCTATATATAAATTATTTTGTATAGGTTCCTATTATTGAATATATTGATGACACACATCAATATAAACCTCGACTTTTACCGGAAGACTCTTATAAACGTTATCAGGTTAGATAAAACAAAAGGAAAAGAATTTGAAAATTCTTTTTTTTTGCGGTTATAAATTAGGCTCGTATGATTAGTGAAATAATTGCATCTGGTATTCAGGTAGTTTATATAAATTTGTATTTATTATATTAATCGTGTTTTTTCTTAATTCAAAAGCCATTACAAAATAATAGTGTTCTTAAACGTGTTGGTGAAGAGAAAAAAACTGAATGGGCACATGATTTTATAAAAAATGGACTCGATGGTAAATAAATTAATATATGCATACTTTTTTTCACTAAACATTTTTCTTCTAGCCCTAGAAAAAGCTCTTGAAGAATCAGCTGGACGTTACTGTGTAGGTGATGAAGTTTCAATAGCTGATTGTTGTCTTGTACCACAAATTTACAATGCACGACGGTTTGTATTTATTTATTTTTATTTATGATTAATAATTATTTTCTATTTAGATTTAATGTTGATTTAACACCATATCCTATTATGACAGCTATTGATGAAAGATTAAGTCACATTCCTGCATTCAAACAAGCACATCCAAATCAACAACCTGATTTTCCTGGTGAAGGAAATTAGAGATCATAATTTCTTTTTTTGATGATAACATCTTCATCTCTTTTTTTAAAAATGATTACCGATGATTTTTAGCAAACAATAGAATAAAGGTTCTAGTAATCATTCTGTTATGTTTAAACAAAAAAAAACGCGTATTTTTATAAAGAATGTGATATATCACGCCATGATGAGACCAATGATCGTTGATATGCGATTAAAGAGAATTAGAAAAAAATATATGATATCATCAACAGGTGCATCGTATCTCAAAAACGATAATTATTTTCGATTAAATCGAAAATATCAATACTATTGAAAAGCGACTAATCTATAAGTTCGTTTGATCACGAGGCGTTTAGATTCCAACTGAAATATTAAAATGCGATGCAAATTTCATGTCATTAATAATACATAGCAGGTATTATGTTTTTAAAAGTTAAGATAAAAAACAGAATATTATTATCTCAATGATTTTGTATTCTTGTGTGATATTCAAATAGAATATATAATCAATAGTTTTTATAAAATAGAAATGGGTCAAAATGATGTATTGTCCAGAAAACGAGAACATATTTTGTACTTTTGATAATTAACGTTATCGTGTTTTACACATTGTTGAAGTTACCTATTTTCTTTGTATTTATATCACAATAATAGTATTTATCATCGTCTGTCTATATTCTCATACAAATCGTAACTGATAAAATGCATATATTACCATAGAGAAAAATAAGAGAAAAAGAGAGAGAGAAAAAATTGCGACTTATTTATATAAACTAGTTTCTATTGTATTCCGATCATTGTTCTACTGAACCTTGTTCTTGTTAGATAGTTTTTTTTGCCTCATATTTATCAATACATTATCTAAACAAGATGCCTGAAACTGCTGAAAATAAACACTTGAATATTGAAGATGATTTCGGTAAAGAACGACGATCAAGTAGTTCAGGTATGAGAATAAAATATTTAAATAACAAATAAAATAATTTCTTTTATCTTAGCTTCTGAAGGTCGTGCAACAATGGTTACATATTGGAAACGTAATTCTAATCCAAATCTTGAGAATATGATGCTTGATACAAATGCGGATAAAATCAATCGATTTGAACATCCAGAAATACTTGAATGTTTACCTGATCTTGATGGTAAACGTGTCCTTGAATTAGGTGCTGGTATTGGGTATGTATATGCAATTTAAGAAAACATATATTTTAAAATCGAACTGATTTATTTTTAGACGTTTTACAAAAAAATTTGCTCAATTAGCTAAATCAGTTGTCGCAGTAGATTTTATGGAAAGTTTTATAGAAAAAAATAGACAAGAGAACAGTCATTTTGGTACAGTAGAATTTTTACAAAAAGATGCAACATTATTAACATTTGAACCAAATAGGTATTTATAATAATATATACTATTTGATTTTTGAATTGTCTGCCTGTCTTTCTTTGTTTCTAGCTTTGATGTTGTCTTTAGCAATTGGCTTTTTATGTATCTTTCTGATGAAGAAACTGAACAACTTTTACAAAAAAGTCTTTCATGGCTTGCACCAGGCGGAACATTATTTTTCCGTGAATCATGTTTTCATTCTTCAGGTTTAGATTTCTTTTGTCTAAGTTTATAACCTAAATAATTCTATTTTTAACAGGAAATATCAAATCAGGTGAAAATCCAACCCATTATCGTTCACCAAGACAATATATTGATATGTGTCAATCACGTATATTAAGTAGTAGTCCTGAACAAGTTTTTGAACTTGTTTTTGCTAAAGCATTAGAATCATATTATGAAATAAAACAAAATAATAATCAAGTAAAATCATTTCAAAAACATTTTTTTTGAATTAATTTTATTTAGGTATGTTTTTTATTTACAAAAACTAATCTACGAAATCACAATGGTTATAAAACCTTACAAGATTTTCTTGATCATTCTGAATATGCTGAAAAAAGTATTCAAAAATATGAATCCGTACGTGGAGAAGGTTATGTTACTATTGGTGGTAGTAAATTAACAGGAGAACTTGTTGAACGACTTAATCTAACAAAATCTCAACGTTTATTAAATTTTGGTTGTGCAACTGGTGGAAGTTCATTTCAAATTGCTAAGGTTTAATATTTAAGAATAAAAAAAAAAAACTAAAAAATGATTTTTATTAATTCTAGGATTATGGTTGTGAAATTGTTGGTGTAGATATTTCGGCAAATATGATCGGCATGGGTACTAAGTAAAAATAGAGAAGATGATGTACTTTTGAACATTTTTTATTTTATTTAATTATAGCATGGGATCGAGCATTATTACATAAAGGTGATAGAATTCGTTTTGAAGTTGGTGATGGTACAAAAATGAGATTTTTACCATCAAAATTTGATGCTATCTACAGGTAATAATAACGAAGCTAGAATTTTTTAAGAAAAAAAGAATTCTTTATAGTCGTGATGTTATTTTTCATGTTTCGGATAAGCCAGCTTTATTGAATAATTTTTATACATGGCTTAAAAATGATGGTCGTCTATTAGTTACTGATTTTTGTTGTGGTACAACACCATTTTCTCAAGATCTTATGGATTATGCACGATCTGGCATGTATACTCTTACATCTATGCAAGAATATGCTGAAGTAAGAATATGAAAATTTCTGAAAGATTATTTCCTTTTCGTTTATTCTTCTAAAGCTTCTTGAAAAATGTGGTTTTGTTCAAGTACATGCTGAAGATCGTTCTGATTTATATCAACAATATTGTCTACAAGAAATTGAAGTTGCTGAACAAAATCGAGCAAATGCAAATTCTGTAAATACTTTTTTCTAATATAAATCTATTGATTATTTCGTGTTATTTTTCTAGGAACTAAGTCGTCATGAATTAGATGAATGTGTTCGACAATGGAAATTAAAATATTCTTTAACAAATTCTGGTCAACGTTGTTGGTGTGTTTTTGAAGCAGTCAAACGAACAATATCATGCCGTGAAGATGATACTAATGAACAATAAACGATTTTTATTACTATTCTGTAAAATTCGTTTATTAAATGATTGAAAAGAAAAGAATAAAAAATAAATTGATATGAGATTCAATATACAAATGTATTAAATGAGAGGAGAAGATTTATCACAATGTGTACTATCGTTATGTTGTTAATCTAGATAAATAAATACTAGTGGTATTAAAGAAAATATTTGTCAGATATTTACCATTATTGAGATGTTTTTCTTTGAGATATATCATTAACTTTTCGATATATGCATCAACATGATGAGCATGACGTTTAAATTCTTCTCTAAAACAGTCAAGTTAAAAGGACAATTTCATTCAAAAGGTAATTTACAGTGTTATATTATAATCAAATTTAATTTTTTGAGCTATATATGATATCATAAATAATGATGTTTCACCATGTGGACCTTTTTCTGAACCACAATGTTTATTGAAATGTGTATTTGTATAGATATTATAATGAATTTTCTATAGAAATAAATAAATAATTTAAAAAAACAAGGAAATGAAAGAAATTCATACTTCAAGATCATGTGTATTTGTAGTATAATGATCATTTTCAACAATTTCAAGTGTATTAAATATAAGTTCAATAAACATATGATATATATGACATAAAAATATTGAACTTTCATTATTTTTTGGTTGTTCACAATTTGATAAATATTCATCAATAAATTTCGCTGCTTGACATGCTGTTTTAGCAAATGTAATATCATTTCTATAATGATATTTATCATGAACACGTGTTAATACATCTGTAACAATTCCCGAATAAGTTGATGTAGGTGACGAAAGTGTTGCCATAGATGATACATTCTTTGAACAAAAAAGAAACAAAGATTATCTATAAATCCTACGACTATGTAACTTTCGGAAGTGTGTATATAGATTAAAAAGAATAATAATAATAATTTACTTTGAACATAAACAATGGTTTTATATTGGATAATAGTATTCTTGATGTTCGATACATAATATTCAAATAATAAATACAGAAAATTCTTAACAAAAGTATCAGTTTAAATAGATTTTGATTTATTACAATTTTTAAATCAAATTGAATCTGAAACAAGATAGGAATTTGTTTATTTTTAGAAACAATAAAAACTTATTGATAATCAAATATATCATCTACTGGTACTCGGTTTATTTTTGCTAGAAAAAATCGAAAACAAATTTGAAACGGAGTGCGATCGCACTCTCCGAAATCCGCCTTTATCACTGATATTTTTTAAGAAATTTGATTAAATCCATCAGAGGTCCAAACAGGCCTAGTTTTGGTGGGCCTGGCCTGCCTGTCCAAGCCTGTCGATATTTCTATACAACAATAATATATTATAATCAAACAAAAGGAAGAGAAAATCAATAGTAATAAAGTTTGATCATCAATTTTTGATGAGAAATTCATGCAAATAGATATGAACTAGATAAATATAATATTTATTAATCTAATGTATCAGGTTTAAGTGAAGAATAAGTACTATGTTCTAGGAAGAAAAGTGGAATTCTTATTATAAAATAGCAAGAAAATGATAGACAGGCACAGACCTCACGGCCTGTTTGGACCTCTGAAATCGATGTCTTCATATTTTCACAACAAATATAGAGTTAAATTTTATTAGAGATTAATTGGTTAGTAGTTCATATATTATATTAATATTCATATATAACCTTCTTTCTTATATTCGAAAATTTTTCTCAAGTAAAAATTACATAGATTACACTAAGATTATATAAATTCCATCTAAAATATAATTTTGATATATTGATTTTGTTGTTAGTTGAAGATTAACTTGTTAGATTAAAATTTTATAATCGTATTTTTGCAATATTATTTCTTTTATATTATTGTTGTTTCTATTATCATTCTACAGTAAAAGTCAAAATAGTTTTTCGATCACCTCCTCTAGCAAGAACAAAAGAAAAACAATAACCACACAGACGTACCACAATGCAACAGGCAATCAAATACAAAATTACAGAAGTTTAATTGCTATGCAAACAAAACGAGAAAAAAAATATTGCGCATATTAGTTTAGTAAGCAAGACAAAAGAAAAAGACCAAAAGGGGCAATACAAAAAAAGAAAACAATTGCGTATAATATATAAGACAAGAGAGAAAAAAAATGAGAGAATCAATGAGATATATACCAAATACTGACTTTATACAATAATAGTATCATAAAAACTCATGATATATGAGACCGGGATGATTTAAACTACTTTCTAACAAATATTGTTTACTGCCTATAGCACCGTATCATAAAGTGTGTTGTCGTTTATGAAGACGAAGATGGAGGTAATGTTTCTTGTTCATCACCACCTTGTTGCATTGGTGATGAACCACGAGGATCAGTTCGATGATGTATAACAATAGGAATTTGAATAGGTGCAATTAAATTTGATCGATTTGAAGATTGTTGTTCGTTTCTATGATTAATAAATGATGGATATCGATGAATTAAATCTCGAACAGCATCATTATATCTTTCAAATAATTGATGTTTATTTATTGAAACTGAATGATAATGTTGACCAACTGGTTGTTCAAGTAAACGTTGAAGAAATTCTTCAAGAGATACTAAACGATCAGTAGCTAAACAAATAATTATATATGATAAATTCAATTCATAGAAATTGTTTGTTCTACATACGTTCAAGTTTATCAAGTAATAAACACCAAACACGTTGAATTTCTTTTATATAAGCCTGATCATCATCTGAACTGAGTTTAAGTTGCATTAAACATGGAAGAAATTGATGTGTCATTGTATCAAGACGATAATTAGGATCAGTTTTAAAACGATGTAATACAACATCGTTCCATCTCTAAAGAAAAGTAAAAATTTTTATATTTTTTACCAAAAAATCGAAATTTTACTTCAAAACATAATCTTCTTGCTTTAAATAAAAGAGAGCTATCCATAGCTTTCATTGGTAAAGTACATTGTTTTGAAAGACGTAAATTATATTCACAAGCAACACAAAAATATGTTATTGCTTCATCAAATCTAAAATGTAAATAATAGTTTTAAACGAATTATTTTCGAATATTTTACATACTTATCTTCATTCATCAATTGATAACCGGCAAGAAATGCAGCGATAACAGATCGATAATCTTTATAATCACTTAGGATTTTCTAGAATATTTTATAATGAAAAGTTTTGCAAGACAAATTATTTTAAAATTTACTTGATATTCTTGAATTTCATCATTTGACATTTGCATATCATGACAAATAATTTGTGCTTGTAATTTAAATATTCGTAACCTAAATAAAAAAAATTTCGAAATTCTTTTTTTTTCATAAAATTTCGTTACCGAATATTATTATTTGAATTTGGTAAAACACGAATAATATCATACATAACACGTTGTCGATAAATAATATCAATATGATTAGCTGATAAATATAAAAGTATATGTTGTAAACGATAATCATGATGTGGTAATGCTGATGTTATTAAATTAGCTGTTAATGTATAATTTTTTATTTCTTTCTCAATAATCTAATAATAATAAAAAATGAAATTTATTTCGTAAATCAATTAATAAAAATAATTTACTTCATGAAGTAAACGATCAATTTTAATTGAGAGAATTTTTGTTTCATATATTTTTAAATTATCTATTGTTGAATCAATAATTGGTTTAACTATTTCTGTATCTAAAAGTAATTATTTTGCTAGAAATATGAAGAAAAAAGAAATGTATATACCAAACGATGAATTTGTTCCAGTAAAAAATGGAAGTGTTAAAATTTTATGTGTTGATTGAGATTTTTCATTAAGTTCACAGATTGTTTTAAGATCATTATGAAGTTTTTCTAATTTAATTGTTTCAGTTTGTTGTTTTAATAATGTTAAATCATCATCTAAAACACGTTGAAGATCAGCAGTTAATTCATAATGTATATCTAAAATAGATGACATATATAAATTGAATAATGAAAAATAAAACTTACTGTTAGATAAAGATTTTTGTTCAGCATTTATATAGACTAATAGATAAGCACTTGGTATACGTGGTTCATCACGATTATTTTGTGTACGTTCACAACCAATACCCGCATCTAATACATCACTCCATTTACTTTCAGTTACTAGAATTATGAAATTAATATTAACAATAATTGGAATAAATAGTTACCTTCATTATCATTATATCGATACCATTTTTGTTTATCAGTATGATAGACATAAGTCCAAAAATGTCCAAGTGATGCACTTCCTTCATGAACGCAAACAGCATGTAATGTATATCGAGCCTAAAATGAGATTTAAGTTTTAGGAAGATGAATTGAAATTCTCGAACTTGTTTTAATAATGATCGATCATACAATTGTTTTAATTCAATATGTACACGTTGAATTTCTTCACGAATAGCTAAGATAACAAAGTCTTATTGAAAAGAAGAGGACAAAATCATTTTATTTACTTGCACATTTCGCTTCGATTTCTGTTAACCAACTTGGTAGAGTATTTTGAACAAATTGCAGTTCGTCATTTGATATATGTGATGGTTGTATTGGTACAATTGGATGTTGTCGAGAACGATTTGATATTGTTTGATCAAATGAAACAGAATCGATTCTAGAGAATAAAATCTTTTGATAAAGTTTTGTTTTTTGTTAAAAGAAAAATAACCTTTTAGGTAATGTTGGATTCAGTCGACAACCAGTTGCATATTCATAAACAACTCGAATAGCATTTGCAAGTGAAAATGATTCATTATTACATGGATATTTTAAATAACTAAAAGAATTGAACATAAATTTATTTATTATTTTTTTTTCTTAAATACCTATTCAATGTATTTTCTAAATCATGTAATTGAGCATAAAGTTTTTTAGCTATCTCTCGTTTCTGTAAAATAAGAACTTTATTAATTAACATATAACGATCAAGATAAAGTTCGGGATAAAATTCAAATGGTGCAATTATTTTTGATGCTTGTTTTGTTATTTGTGAAAAACGATAACGATTAAGACAAATAAATAAAACAGGTGGTAAACGTGTAAGCCATCGTTGTTCAACAATAGCCTAATAAAATATAAATTGAGTAAAGAAAAATAATTAGGATTAACTAGCACAGTATTAGGTAGACAATCTAACATCTCATTTTCTGACAGAAAAATATCGCGCGGATCGTATCTCCTCGTAATTCAATTTATATATGAGACTAATTAAACACTCGGAATCAATTGTCTTAGTATAAAGTTCGTTTATTAATCATTTACTTGTTGACTAGAAAGACTTTCATCAGCTGATCCAAGCCAAAGAGTTTCAAGACCATCATAAAGATTAGTTGAATCAATCATTTGAATATTTATTTGTCTTAACGCTTCGCGAACTAAATTTCAATAGGAATTTTTTTGAAAATGAAAATGAAAATAAAATCTACTTGATTTATGTTCGTTTCTTTCAACGATAACTTCACCCGTAACTAATGTATTGATAGGATTAAGAAAATTCATTGCTGTTGTTCGATTATCAGTATTAGTTAGACTATAATGAATAAGTAAACATTTTTCTTTATATTATAAGTAAAAAAAACTTTTTTTTCTAACTTTTTTCCAACTGTTTCAAAGGCAAGTTCAACAAGATCAATAAGATGTATAGCAAATTCTGAACAATCCTAAAAAAATGATTATTTAAACTAAATTTTCTTTTGTAATTTTTAAAATAAAATACTTCATGTGAAAAATCAATTCCACATAATTTTCTTGTATTTTTAAATTTTTTTAATGCACGATCTGGATTTATTGAACAACGTGGTGATTTTAACATTAAAATAAATAAATCACGTAATTCTTCTGTAAAAGATATTGCTTGTTGTTCCTAGATTTATTTTAAATAAGAAAATAATGAACATTAAAATCTAGTTTAAACATACACTCTTCGATAATATACAATTAGTTTCTAAATATTGAAAATTTAATATCAATTGACGAAAATAAGGTAATGTATAAAGTACTTGAATAACTGAATTAAACCAACATGTATTTCCAATATTTTTTAATCCAGCTGGTTCATCAAAAAATTTTCTTTCAGCAATATCTGATTCATCAATCATTTGTTCCATTGTTTCACGTGATAATAAAATTGCACTAAAGAAAGAAAAAAACATTTTTGTCTTAGAAAAATAAAATTTATTCTAACCGTTCTAAATCATCATCAACTGTTTGTTGATTATCAATTTCTGGTGAAATTTCAATAACATCATCTGTTATTGTGTCAGTATTATTTCGATCAGTTGTTTGTTGTGCTGAAGCTGTCGTTGTTTCTTGATTAGATACATTTGGATTTTGATGGGATTGATTATGATTATTAGTTGATTGTGAAGATGTTTGTTGAAGATTATTTCGAAGCTTAAAATAAAAGAAAATGAAATTGTATATTATCTCGTGTGTTATTAGATAATACAAACATTATCATCAAATAATAAATTAATAACTTGTTCAAGTGAATAACGTCCAGTATCATCTTTACATGCTTCAATTGTTTGATTTATTGAATTATCATCCAGGCCGGTGATTTCACGCACCTGCCGAATGACATCACGTCGATCTCGTTTCGTCTAATTAAAATATAAATATAATTGATTATATATATATTGAAATATTTTTTTTGTCTACGAACGGTTGAAAGATTATTTTTCTTATTTTCAGGCACAGCTGCTGTATCAACTGTCATAATCTAATGCAAAA